ACCCATTTCACCGGAAAAGAAGTCCAGCACTGGGCACAGAGGCTGGGAATTCAATGGGTATTTCATGTCCCTTATCACTCACAGGCAGGGATCTGATTGAGCCATATAATGGTTTGTTAAAATAAGGCTTGCGGCTGTCTGTTGATTCCCCTCTCCTTGAGGGAGTGGACCCGACACACATGGGGGGTTTTACAGGTTCTCAATGAAAAACCACACAGGGGTGGAATCACCCTGGTGGAGGCTCTTCTGCATCATGCTGCTGCGCCAATACAACTGCAGGTGGTAACAACAGATATTCGCCTAAAGCCTGGCTATGGAACCCAAGGTAATATCCTGTTGCCAGCCCCAAAGGAGACTGCACAAGGACAGATGGTGGACTGGACTTGGCCACGGAAGATAAAAACACCCCACATGTGGTGGATAGCTTTCCTAGCCCCATGTGGGCAAGGGCTGCAACATGACTTTCAGGTTGTACCCTGGGTGACAAGCACCTGGTCCCCTCTTGTGCATGTCACCTGGCCAAGACCACAGGGAGCTGCCTCAGTGTTGAAAGGTGTATTTGTACTCTCCCTGAGGTCTCTCATGAGTTCTCCTCTTATGCTCCGTGTGGAGCCATAGGATGTGAGAAATCTATGATGTGCAATGCCTAACTGGAGACCCACTGCAAGAATGGTGGGCAGCCTGTCCAGTACCTGGCATTGGAGTTTGCTCTGTATTGGGTGTGTAGCCTGCACTCTAGTGGTTTGTTGTTGTAGCTTTCACTGTTGTTGTGGAATATGGGTACAAGCAGCAGCGGTGTGTGCCAGAAAGAAGCCACAGAGGGCCGAGCCTATGTAAACAGTGGGACAGAAGACCCTGAGGGGTGGGTTGTGGAGAAGCTAACTGACAACACAGAGTCAGTCAGGCTCTCCTGTCCCATTCTCTCACGGCCTCATACCTTACGTTCTGTCAACAACGATATTGCTGACCTTGGTAGCACTGGGCCTGCGCACCCACTTGGCCATGGGCCACTTTTGTCTGTCCTAGCATATCAGTAGTCTTAGAAGACTCCCTGCGGCGGCGGCTGCTGCCCAGAGAGAATAAACATGTCTGCAGTGCCCACAGCTCTTCAAGTCTTCTTCCATCTTCCCCGATCACGCCTTATCTACCCTGGGTTCAGTGAACAGTGTGAGCGGCAAGACAAGTACTTACCATGAACACAGGATTCCGAAAGTACTTTATATCCATGATTTTCTCCAACTCAAGACAATTTCTGTGAGGAGAGCATTATTATCCGCCATTGCTGGAATGAGAAAGCCGAGTCCGCAAGAATCACCAGGTTCCAGTGATTATAACCAGCCACCTGGGTTCTATCTTCTAAACCACACAGCTGCTGCTTCTTAACTTCAGGAATCCTGAGAAGCACCAGCTGAGAGTGACAGAGGTGAGTTTCAGCCCCTAGTTCAAACCACTTCGTATTTGGGGGACCTTTAGGAAGATGAGTCACCTGACTCTTCAGTCTCTCATCTGTAAAATGGGAAAAATAATGAATTTAAAAATTAGGGTGGAATGAAAAAGATTTATATATATAAATATATTAAAAATATATATTGGAATCACTTTGCTGTACACAGGAAACTAACACAATATTGTAAATCAACTATATTTCAATGAAAAACATTTTTTTAACTTAGGGAGGATGCAAAGGTTAAATGATTAAGTGCCTACTACATGCTGATTAATATTATTAATTTCCAGAAATGTACAGTACAAATACAAAAATAATTTACCAAAATGGAGCAGGGGCCATCCTATGAAGGAATAAATGTAGGAACACAAGGAATCAGTACAGTTCTGTTAATCGAGACTATAAGCCTTCCAGAAGCCAAAACAACATACCATACCACTCTCTTTCACCCAGAACAGATCCTATATCAGTTTCTTAGTGAAAACAGGGTTTTCAGAGTGGAGGAATTCAACTGGGGCCTTAAGTAGAGGAAACTATGGCAAATAGCAGAGTCCATAAAATGAGAGTCACAGAAAAGCCTGAAGTAAATATCAAAGGTTGTTCCTTGTAGCAATCCTAACTGAAAGATAAAGGCCTAACACAAACTGTAATTCTGAGGCAGCAGTTGAACACAGAACTAAGCTAATGCCGCTAAGGTGTTTTGAATCTGTGAGCACTGCAGTCAATATCAATGTGCTCAGTCTCATCTGACTCTGCGACCCCATGGACTGTAGCCAGCCAGGCTCCTCTGTCCACGGGATTTTCCAGGCAAGAATACTGGAGTGGCTTGTCATTTCCTTCTCCAGGGGATCTTCCAAAACCAGAGATCAACCAGTCTCTAGCGTCTCCTGAAATGGCAGGCAGGTTCTTTACCACTATGCTACCTGGGTGATTCTTGTTTTTCAGTCACTCAGTTGTGACTTTTTGCGACCCCATGGAGTGCAGCACATCAGGCTTCCCTGTCCTTTACCATCTCCTGGAGCTTACTCAAACTCATGTCCATCAAGCAGGTGATGCCATCCAACCATCTCATCCTCTGTTTTCCCCTTCTCCACTTGCCTTCAATCTTTCCCAGCATCAAGGTCTTTTCCAATGGGTTAACTCTTCGAATCAGGTAGCCAAAGTATTGGAACTTCAGCTTCAGCATAAGTCCTTCCAAAGAATATTCAGGACTGATTTCCTTTAGGATTGACTGGTTTGATTTCCTCGAAGTCCAAGAAACTATTAAGAGTGTTCTCCAACACCACAGCTAAAAAGCATCAATTCTTCGGCACTCAGCCTTCTTGTGAGTCCAAGTCTCACATTCATACATGACTACTGGAAAAACTATAGGTTTGACTAGATGGACCTTTGTTGGCAAAGTAATGTCTCTGCTTTTTAATATGCTGTCTAGGTTTGTCATAGCTTTTCTTTTACAGGTTTTGCAGGAGGCAGGTCAGGTGGTCTGGTATTCCCATCTCTTTCAGAATTTTCCACAGTTTGTTGTGATCCACACAGTCAAAGGCTTTAGGGTAGTCAATGAAATAGATGCTTTTCTGGAATTCTCTTGCTTTTCTATAACCCAACAGATATTGGAAATTTGATATCTGCTTCCTCTGCCTTTTCTAAATCCAGCTTGGACATCTGGAAGTTCTTGTTCATGTCCTGTTGAAGCCTAGCTTGGAGAATTTTGAACATTACTTTGTTAGTGTGTGAAATGAGAGCAATTGTGCACCTCCTGCATTGGTAGGTGGATTCTTTGCCATTGACCCCTAGGGAATTCCAAATCACCTCGAGGATTTGCTAAAACTCAGATTTCAGAGCTGCACACGCAACGTTTCTGACTCAGTTGTCTCCAGTGGGGCTATAGAATTTGCATTTTAACAAGTCCTGGGGGAGGAAGATCCCCTGGAGAAGGAAATGGCAACTGACTCCAGTATTCTTGCCTATGAAATCCCATAGACAGAGATGCCTGGCAGGCTACAGTCCATGGGGTCACAAAAGTCTTGGAGATGACTAGGTGACTAAACAACAATAACGAGGTGATTTGGATGTTTGCTCACGTGTGACACGAGTGTGTAAGACCTGCAATATCTCTGAGAAGTGGTAGGAGCGTGTGTGCTTCAGTCATGTCTGACTCTGTGCAACCCTATGGACTGTAGCCCACCACTCGTAGCAGCGGTAAATTAAAATTTCAGCGCCTGTAATTCTGGCCGTCTCCCTAGACAAAGAAAATTGCCCTAAAGAAGAGTCTGGTTCTAAGAAATAGGGCCGCCCATTTTGCCTACCAAGATGTTAGCCACAAAATACACGTCTCTAAGTTTACTGGTCAAAGGAGCCTGCCAAATGCACTTATGATAGTAATCACTTTCCGATTAGAATGTTTGCCAATGATAATGATTTTTTCTATTACAGTTAAAATTCAGTCCTTCTTCCCTACACCGTAAGTGTGGAGTCACTTTCTTCCAAAGACCACAGTATAGAAAGGGGTAGAAAGAGCAACTTTACAATGAGGAAACAAAAATGGCATTTTACCTCTGTGGTCTTCTCCCCAAGGATACACAACCTCAGTCTATCCCTAAGATAAATGTCAAACACATCCCAAGTAAGGGACATTCTACAAAACACCTGATTGAATAGTATTCCTCAAAACTGTCAAAGTCATGAAAGACAAGAAAAGTTTGAGAACCTATCATAGTCTAGAGGAGATATGACAACACAATGTAATGTGATAAACCTGGGTGGGATCTAGGAACAGAAAAAGGATATCAGATAAAGAAGAGCAAATGAATCTGAATAAAGAATGGACTTCAGTTAATACTAATATATGAATACTGGTTCACCCATTGTGAGCAAAGTACCACACCAAGGTAAGCTGTTACAAAAGGGAAAACTGGTGTGGAATATTTGAGAACCCTTTGTACTATCATAATAATTTTTATGAAATCTGAAACTATTCAAAAATTAAAAGTTCATTTAAAATTCCAATCTTTCTTCTTGATAATAAGCAGATATCCGGACCATTTTCACATCAAGTTTTCTAATTAATAATGGAAATAGAATCCTCTTCTGTGCTTGTGTGCATTAGTCACTAAGCCATGTCCAACTCTTTGCCACCCCACAGACTATAGCCGGCCAGGTTTCTGTCCATGGAATTCTCCAGGCAAAAACCTGGAGTGGATAGCCATTACTTTCTCCAGGGGATCATCCTGACCTAGAGATCAAACTAGGGTCTCCTGCATTGCACGCGGACTCTTTACCATCAGAGGCTCCAGGGAAGCCACGCCCCACTCCCCCCATAACTTCCGTGCGACCCCCACCCCCACCCAACCACTGCATGCTCCCCGCTCCTGTCCTGCACGCCTCGCAAACCAACCACACACTCCTGCAAAGTTAATCAATCTGGTCCCTTCAGCCAATGGCAAATGGGTGGCAGATAGGACTTCATTTGTTCGAATGAAATAAACAAAAGCAGGCTCAATTAGGGGTGGCATGGCCAATGACTGTGGGGTCGCCCCTGTAAAGAGGGTCAGGCATCCCCACGCCGTTCTTTACTGCTCCCAGTCCAGCCATTCCCGTTCCTGTTTCGGCAGAGCGCTGGCTGCAGTCTGCGAGGAAAGAAGATGGCGGCAGCTGACGGCGATGACTCGCTCAACCCCATCTTGATCCTCGTAGACGGGCTCCAGAACGACGATGTTCAGCTTCGCATCGACAGCATCAAGAAGCTGCCCATCATCGCCTTGGCCCTTGGAGTCGAAAAGACCCGCAATGAGCTTCTGCCCTTCATTATAGACATCGTGTACGATGAGGATGAGGTCCTCTTTGCCCTGGCGGAGGAGCTGGGCACCTTCACGCCTCTGGTCGGAGGTCCCGAGTATGCTCACTGCCTGCTGCCACCCCTAGAGGTGCTGGCCATGGTGGATGAGGCCATAGTGCGGGACAAGGCGGTGGACTCCCTGCGGGCCATCTCGCATGAGCACTCACCCTCCCATCTCGAGGACCACTTTGTGCCACTTGTGAAGCGACTGGGGGGTGGTGAGTTGGTCACCTCCCGCATCTCAGCCTGCCGCCTTTTCTCCGTCTGCTACCCTGGCGTGTCCATTGCTGTCAAGGCGGAACTTCGAAAGTGCTTTCGGGACCTGTGCTCAGATGACGACGTCTTGGTGCGGTGTGCAGCAGCCTCCAACCTGGGGGATTTCGCCAAGGTGCTTGAGTTGGACGACATCGAGAGTGAGATCATCCCCATATTCTCCAACCTGGCCTGTGACGAGCAGGATTCGGTGCGGCTGCTAATGGTGGAAGTGTGTGTGAACATTGGCCAGCTCCTGCCCCAGGAGGCCCTGGAGGCCCTGGTGATGATCACTCTGTGCCAGGCTGCTGAGGACACATCCTGGCGCGTCCGTTACATGGTGGCCAACAAGTTCACAGAGCTCCAGACAGCAGTGGGGCCTGAGGTCACCAAGACGGACCTGGTCCCTGCCTTCCAGAACCTGATCAAAGACTGTGAGCCCGAGGTGAGGGCCGCCGCCTCCCTCAAGCTCAAAGAATTCTGTGAAAATCTCTCCGCTGACTATCGGGAGAATGTGATCCTGACCGAGATCTTGCCTTGCAGCAAGGAGCTGGTCTCGGACACCAACCAGCATGTCAGGTCAGCCCTGGCCTCCGTCATCATGGGCCTCTCCCACATCCTGGCCAAAGATAACACCATCAAGCACCTCATGCCCGTCTTCCTGGCTCTGCTGAAGGATGAGTGCCCAGATGTGCGGCTGAACATCATCTCCAACCTCGATTGCGTGAAAGAGGTGATTGGCATCCAGCAGCTGTCCCAGTTCCTGCTCCCCAGCATCATGGAGCTTGCGGGGGATGCCACGTGGCGGGTGCGTCTGGCCATCGTTGAGTACATGCCTCTGCTGGCTGGACAGTTTGGGCTGGAGTTCTTTGATGCTCAGTTCCACTCCTTGTGCATGTCCTGGCTTGTGGATCATGTCTATGCCATCCGCGAGGCGGCCACCAACAACCTGAAGAAGCTGGTGGAGCAGTTTGGGAAGGAGTGGGCCCTTGCCACTGTCATCCCCAGGGTCCTGACCCTGTCTGAGGAACCCAATTACCTGCACCGCATGACTGTGCTCTTCTGCATCAGTGTGCTGTCTAAGGTCTGTGGGCAGGACATCACCACCAAGCACATGCTGCCCACAGTGCTGTATATGGCTGAGGACCCTGTTGCCAATGTCCGCTTCAGCGTGGCCAAGTCCCTACAGAAGATCGGGTCCATCCTGGACAACAGCACGCTGCAGACCAAGGTCAAGCCCATCCTGGAGAAGCTGACCCAGGACCAGGACATGGATGTCAAGTACTTCGCCCAGGAGGCTCTGACTGTCCTGTCTCTCGCCTGATGCTGGAAGAGGAGCCAACGCCAGCCTCTGGTATTCACCCTCCCCTCTCCCCCGAGTCCCTCCCTTGGGGGGACAGTGCCCTGAGCTCTCACTCCCTGTGCATGATCTGATCCCAGGCCCCTCCCCCAGCACAGTTCCTGGCCCCAGCCTGGGAATCCAACTTCTCACCGTCCACTCCCACGGGGTTGGGGGTGCCCGAGGTGGGACAGGGCAGAGACCTTAGGAGCAAGGGTTGTTCCTGCTGCGCTGGGGGTAGATGCAGGCATCTCAGGTTGCAGGCTTCTGCTGCTATAACGGGGACCCCTGCCCCATCGATTTCTCCACCTCTCTTCCTTCCCCCTCAGTTGGTTGTTTGTGTCAGTTGTGCCATTTTTATTTTATTCCTTTTACCCCCTTTTCACAGAGAAATAAAGGTCTAGAAATTTTTAAAAAACAATGAAAATAGATTCATGGGAAAATACATGTTTCCGCCAAAAAAAAGGTAGTCTAGCGATCAGAAGTTGTTTTGTGAAATTTGCTCAGCGTTCAAATGTTCTTTCGATGAATTTGTAGGGGAGAAAGTGGTCTCCCCGTCCTATTCCTCCACCATCTTGGCTCCTCCCCAAGGTAGCTCTTTCTACAAATCACAAGGATTCTTACTGTTTTATTAACACCTTCCAATCTTCGTAATTTGCATCATTATTGTCCTAAAAAATAAGTGAAAAGATTGTCATGTTTTCATATTTTTCTCCCTTCTCTTTAGCTGGACATGAATATTCACCTTTTTCCTATTTGAATGAGTTATTGCCTGTTTTCCCACATCAGCTTAAGTGAATAATATTGTAAGCCTCAATTAATTGTATCTTGAATCTGCAGATTCAATTTCCTTATCCTGGACCCTTTTATTTAATGAACCTAAATAATTCTATTAAACATGAGGCATTCAGCTTCCCTCTAATTATCTGGAGAACTCTGGGAGAGAACTGGGGCCACTTTGTTCCAGCTAACCTTAGACTGAGGTGGAAAGTCATCCTCCAGCTCTTTTTGATACTTTGTGGAAGCAGCTATAAAAGGGAACCAAACACCCAAGAATTTCACAAACATTTGGCAAAGTAAAATGTGAGTGGGGAATTCTATAGAGTCTATTAAATAAGAATCAAAAATAGAAGCCTTTTCTGCAGTGCTTGGCTCCAAATTAATTAATCTTTTTTCCCCTGCACCATGGAGCTGAAGGGAATTTAGTTCCTGGACCAGGGATCGAACTGCCGCCCTCAGCAATGAAAGCTCAAAGTCTTATCCACTGGACTGCTGGGGAATTCCTCCAAATTAATATTTTTTAAAAAAAGATTCATGTAAGAAGTGTGTTGTAAAGTTATGTTACGAAGCTGATTTAAAGCAGGGAAATACCACTCTTAAGTATAAATTGAAGATTTTTAACATGGCATAACTGGTAAAAAGTAAGAAAAAAAAGGACCAGCTTAGGCGGTTTAGGCCAGAGGAGACAGAACTAGACCCATCAAATTAAACCAGTTGCTTCCTCTTACCCACAAAAAGACATTACTAAGTAAGATTCAGAAGTTCAGGTCTTTATGGGGAGTGGCATAACTTTAGAGTTCTGGTAATGTCTCTGAGTAGCTAAGCAGATGAGCACATTTTTAAAATTATACTCCAGTTGGAAAGACTATCAGACTGATTTAGGAGACCTGGCTCTACCACTGGTAATGGTAGCTCAGCTGGTAAAGAATCCACCTGGAATGCAGGAGCCCTCATTTTGATTCCTGGGTCTGGAAGATTCCCCTGGAGAAGGGACTGGCTGCCCACTCTAGTATTCTTGAGAGTCCCTGGTGGCTCAGACGGTAAAGAATCCACTTGAAATGTGGGAGACCTGGGTTCGATCCCTGGGTTGGGTAGTTCCCCTGGAGAAAGAAATGGCAACACACTCCATTTTTCTTGCCTGGAGGATCCCCATGGACAGTGGAACTGGCAGGCCACAGTCCATGGGGTCACAAAGAGTCAGACACAACTGAGCGACTAAGCACAGCACCTGATGAACAGGGGTTTGTTTTCTCCTTCATAAAAAAGTAATCATCACACATTTGAACAGGAGCTCATAGTTCCCAATAGACTTTTTGTATACTGTGTCATTTCATCCTGACAAAAAAACAATACAATTTATAAGGCAGGTATTTTCTTACTTTCACAGATGAGGAAACAGAGTTTAATGAATTTATGCCATGAGTTGGGTCACACAATGAGAAAGTGGAAAGCAGGAACTCGACCTCAGGTTTTCTGACTTCAGTTCTCTGCTCTTCACACATCACCACAAAGCTATCTAAAGATGCCTTTTGCTCTAAATTTCCATTATCCTTTGACTAAAATATGGCTTTGAAATTTCAGTGCATAATCTCCAGCTAACTAAATATGAATGTTCCTACATCTCCACTTCCCAAAAGTCAATATGTTTTTCCATTTTAAAATGAGAAAAAAGATTGGAGATTTTTAAAAACATAAGAATCAATCATAATTTTAGCATCTTTTATAGATTTAAAGGGCTTTGTCTGCTTTAAAAAAAATCGAAGCAGTTCTTCAGAGGAGCATAGGGATTCTTAATAAAGCTGCAGTCTATACTTGGACCAATATATTATCGCAAAACAACATGAGTCACAGGGTCCATGAGCTTGTTTTGTTCCTCGGTCTAAATTGTGGTAGGTGATAAATAACACATTCCCTCAAAGGTTAAAGTAATGAAGAGCAAATCAGTAGGTTTTTTTCCATAAATCATGTTTTAAAACTACAGTAGACAATATTCCCCCACTTTTGGCGTTTCAACTGTGAAATGAGAATCTAAGTGATAAAAATTAGATTACGAGAAGTGAAAGTAAGATTTTGGTAAAATTCTGGCACTGCCACTTCTCTGTGTAAGTATCAATTACACAAGTAATGATTTCAAATTATGTTGAGGAGTAATCCAAAAAAAAATTCTAAATATTACCTCAGAAGTTAGAGAGGCAGACTGGTCTTTAAAATGCTAGATTTTTTTTGAGATCTCAGTCTTTTGTTTGTTTGTTTTCCATTTATTTTTATTAGTTGGAGGCTAATTACTTTACAGTATTGTAGTGGTTTTTGTCATACATTGACATGAATCAGCCATGGATTTACATGTTTAGAAGTTTATGAAGTACATATTTTAATTAAAAACATCAGCTTGACTTCCAAAGTTTTCTAGGCCTTAACCTGATGCTCTGATGTTCAGATATACTGTCTCCAAAACAAATAGAAACCAAGCTAAGCCTCCTTGAAAATATTCACCTTTCCAAATAGAATCTGGCTAGATATTTATTTCTTAAATAATTAAATTCGCTGGTCATAATTCAATAGATTTTTTTAAACAAATGAGATAATTCATTATAGTGAAAGAAGAATATTAATTTGGGTTTGGTTTTGGTATAATCCCATGGTTCATATGAATAAACAGCTAGGACTGATTTATTTAGGAAAAGAAAAACAGATTAATATATAACCATATCCAAATAGTAGAAAAGTAAAAGGATAAATTTTACTGGATTTACTGGATTACTGAAATATGCGATTAACTATTCTCATATTTCAAGTGGAAACAAAACATGGGATAACAATAAATATCCAGATTATAATGACCTTAGGAAGAAAAAAAAATACTAGATTTATCTTTATCTTCAAGAGATATCCACACTTCTATGCTGATCGCAGCATCGTAAGCCATAGTCCAGATATGGTAACAACTCAAGTGTCTTATCAACACTTGATGAATGGATAATGAAAATGTGGTACATATATGGAATATTATTTATTCTGTAAAAAGAAGGAAATTCTGTCATTTGCAACAACACAGATGAAAGTGGAAGACATTATGGTTAGTGATATAAGCCAGACAGAGAAAAATACTGCATTATCTCACTCATATGTGGAATCTAAAAAGTGAACTCATAAAAGTAGAAAGTAGGATGGTGGTGGCCAGGAGCTGGTGGTGTGAAGGGTGGGAGGGAATGGGGGCTATTGGTCAAAGGGTACATAATTTCAGTTATGCAGGATGAATATGTTCTGGAGATCTAATGTACTGTATGGTAAGTATAGTTAAAAATATAGTATTGCATACTTGAAATTTGCTATGAGAATAGATCTTAAGTTTTCTTAATGAACACAAATGGTAACTATGTGCGTTGATGGATATGTTAATTACCTTGATGGTGGTGACCATTGCACAGTGTATACATACATCAAAACATCATGTTGTAACTTTAAATATATATAATTTTTAGTTGTCAAATATGCTTCATTAAAGCTAGGGAAAATAATTATATTTCTCCTAAAATAGCTACAAACTTGGAAAACCAAAATTATTTCACTAGTCATACAGAACACACACACATATGTACAACTGCCTCTGTTTTCGAATCCTATTAAAAGTACAGGAGAAAGAGAACATACAAATAAATCTATATTAGCACTAGAAAGTTGAGGAAGGTATCATCAGAGAACCAGAGCAGTAAGGAAAGACATAAAGCAAGTCAAACTGACAGAAAATCTCAACACTATTAAAGAAATTGTAAACTTATCAGGACAAAAGGTAGGAACATGCAAGGAAATGTGTATTTTCTCAGAAACCTGAAATAATCCCCAAACTAGAGCCATGGAGGCTTGGAAAAGGAAGGGGCAGTAAGTAAACAGGTGATTAAAGGAATAGAAAGGAGTTGGACTGATCCCCTAACCACAGAACCATGACTGTGGCATTTGCTACAGACTCTAAAGTATTCTCACCTGGAAAATGACATGGACAGAGGAACCTGGTGTGCTGCAGTCCAGAGGGTGGCAAGGAGTCAGACATGACTGAGTGAGCACACACTGAAGAATTTAGAACAACTCTGTATATAAGACTAGAGTTTTGACAAATACCGTCAGAATGCCCCTTGTGGTAAGAGAAGGAGGACACTGCCATGAGTCATGTAAGGCCATTATGAGGGAACAGAAGACCCTGCACCCAAGAAACAAGCTCTCCATACACCCTAAATGAA